CCCCCCCCCCCTCGTTCCCACTACCTACACCACGCGTGTTATCCCAAAATGGTCGAGGGCTTGTCAACATACCTCATGCTTCGATATCGCCCCGTCGCCGTCCCTGAGCATGCATTCTTTCAAGCACCCCCGCTGCAGCAAACCAAGGATCTCACACTGAAGACCGATCTCGCCTTGGCAAGAAGCTCCGGTGCTAGCAAGGGTTCCGACGTGCGTCTGTCGCCTTAGTCTCTGCACCGCCTGGCTCCTCCACGGCCAACCGAAGTATGTGCCACCTACGGAATGCTGACAAGCCGACAAATCGACGACAATGCATCAATCACAAGAGAGGTGGCAAGTGTGTGTGGTTCGACNGAGGCGTGCCCCGAGCACGACTTGTGCCCGAAGAGGTGGCGGCACGCTAGGCACGGCGTGCGCGTGTGCCTGTGAGCTGCGCCTAGTAGCTCCGACAATGTAGATCCAACTGCTGAAGGGGCCGAAGACAATACTGTATGTGGCAACACTTACGAGGTACATCTACAAAGGTTTATTGCTTGACGGGAGGGGTGGAGGCATGGGAACACATGAATGACAGTGCCACAATATCCTGGTCGATCACAGTGCGGAAGCAGCGTGCCTTGTTTCCCATGCCAAAGCAGTTGAAGGCGTTGTTGTAGCAAACGACAGGGGTCGAAAAAACAACGAGGTTGTCGTTGTTGAGGTGGAAGCCTTCCCCCTCAAGACGAACAGCGGGTCTTCAGAGGTTCCTTCCTTGCACCAAGGCGCGTGGGTCACCTCGTACTTCTGCGACGAGTTCCGAAAACGGCGCCGTTTTGCCCGAGCTTGGACCACGACCCCTTCCCCCATAATCCGATCCCATGAAGTGCACCGAACACCTTGGTCCCACTCCCCATCGTGCTTGTCAGCTTCCATCTCGTCGGCCATGTAGATCTCCGCCAGGCCCAGGACGCCGGCAACATTGAGCTGCGTTTCCGCTCCAGCAGTACAGCCTTCCCAGACTCGCACAAGTCCTCCTCGCATCTCCGCCTGCCCCACATTTCGCACCTCCGCTTCTGGCCGAAACCCTCTAACACTTGCAACTACTCCGCCGCTTGCAGTGTCCTAGAAGAGCTCGAGGAGACGACAGGCAGAAGGCGTGCCAGCGATTTCGCAAATGCATATGTCGTGTACGTACACTTTTCTCCCACAAACGCTGCTCTGTATGCCATCATGGGGACGTTTTCGACAGCGTACCGTTCATGGTGGACTCCCTCACGTTGTCGACCAGCTTGGTCAGGATACAATTGACATGGTCGCTCGTCAACGAGTTGGCGGCGGCCTCCTCTCCGCGCAAATTTTTCCCCGCCGCACAGGTTTCTGAGAGTGCCGCCTCCGAGACCAGCTTCATGTCGCGAGCGAGAAGCAGGTTCACAGGTACGCCATACACCACTGCAGAGCTCTTCCCTTCTTGTGTTGACGGGACAGTACGCTCGAGAACCCGTAGAAGAGGAAGGTATTGCCGCAATGCGGTTGTTGACGTGCGCAGCGTCAACACCTNGACATGGTCGCTCGTCAACGAGTTGGCGGCGGCCTCCTCTCCGCGCAAATTTTTCCCCGCCGCACAGGTTTCTGAGAGTGCCGCCTCCGAGACCAGCTTCATGTCGCGAGCGAGAAGCAGGTTCACAGGTACGCCATACACCACTGCAGAGCTCTTCCCTTCTTGTGTTGACGGGACAGTACGCTCGAGAACCCGTAGAAGAGGAAGGTATTGCCGCAATGCGGTTGTTGACGTGCGCAGCGTCAACACCTTCCAGTCCCCTCACGTCGAAACCGTTGCCCTCGTCCTCGAGAAGGAGTATGTCCAGCAGCCAGCCTGAGGCTTTTTGCGAAATCTGGTGCGTGTGCTGTCATATCCATATCAGCTGCTGTTCCTTCGTGCGGATCGGATAGAAATCAGATTCTTCGGCATTCGTGTTGTACCTAATGTTTTCAGGGCCGCCCTCCATCGTCGAGCTCGCAGCATAAGACGGGGCATAGGTGTGAAGGATTTCCAGCCAACGCATTGCTTCAGCGCTGCTACAACTGTCTGATTCAATTGGCGGCTCGAGATGCTGTCGACGCTGTTCGGAGTTCGATTCTACACCACCGTATTGTTCCTCTCCGCCGTCATACACGTCGTCAATCGACACAGGCCCCCCACCCCCCATGTCTTCGCCTCCATAGATGTTTGGATCGACGTCCGGAATGTTTTGGTCCACGCTTAGATGTGCATCTACTCAATCCATAAGGGCTGCTAGACCACCGGGGGCGATGCCAGAATCTCGCCCATTGGACGCCTGAGACGGCTCGCCGTCGTCAACCGCACTTGGCTCTTCATAGACATCTCCCAACCCCGTCTCCATCTGTTGTAGTTCGTCGAACTCTCCATCTCTCTCGTGTCCTAAATAGTAGTTTGAGGAAAGACAACAGTATGCGCACTTGAGAACAGAGTATGTCGCCGGAGAAAACTCGTGGTGAGCGTGTCCTCGCGATCTGTCTGGTTGATCGATGATATATGCATATGGCCATGCAGGATTCTCATGCGGCGTAACGTTTGAGTAGAATGGCTACGGGACTGCCGACGTGCAACGACGTATACGTGGCCCCGAGCAAAAAGGAAATGCGTTCTTGACGGTGCCGTTCAGCGCACATCAGCGAATTCTGCAGAATACGCGTGCGGTTCCTAATGCAAACTGCAGCCAAGGTTCCGATCGACAATTGGGCCATCACATCACCCTGGGTGCAGGATCTCTTTTGAGTTGTTGACGCCTACCTTACGGGGTCAACGCACGTCGACGCTTGTTCCCAACAGAGCGAGTTCTGCACCGCCTCTAGGACCAAATTGTATGTATGTGTTTATACACCAAGTTTCGTTTATCGTTCGTTCATACCCTGTGGAACAAGCACATGCTTTTGTACGGTACCCATAAAAATCTGGTCTTATGCATAGACATGTCCGCGCTTGTAAAACCAAGTTGTCAGCACACACTGTATCCATGTATCTTAGCACCTACTATCATTCGCACAGCGGTGTATTCATACCTTGGGCATCGGCCGATGGTGTAGCACCCTCGGGAGACACTGTGGAAGACGCAGCGTGGGTATCTCCATGTGCACCACCATCGTCGAGCGCCGGTGTGACGCTGACGTTGCCGGATCAGCGCGTGGAAAGCCCGAAAGGATCCACGGGGGGTACGCAACCTTACATCGGCTTCGGTCCTTCTCTCGACGCCAACTTTCGCCGCACTCGCAGTAGAACCCTGCCTCCCTCATAGGGAAGTTCCCTGATGATGAACCTCCCCCCTCATTCGCCATCGACAGCGCCGCTGCGCAGCGGCGTTGCAGCGGGTACAGGTTTTAGAAGCAGCCAGCTGGCTGGTGAGGCATTTCCCCCCCCCGCTCCGGGGTATCCCAGACTGGAAAACAGGGGCATGGGGTTAAAGCACATGGATATACTCTGTAGTGCTCCCTGTCACAAATATCGCGCGCTCGTGCACGTTACGCGTTGGAAACCTAGTGGACATGGAGGAGATGGGGACCAGGGCGGCCAAGGAGGTGAGTGGGATCATCTCGTACAAGTGCACCTGTGTGTAGACTGCGCCTGTGTGGCTGTCGTCGCTCGTTGCGTCGTTCCCCCCTTTTTTTTTTTTCAATTTTCGCCACAACACCATCACACACAGCAGCCGACACTTGCCATAACTTCTTCCCCTCCCCTTCCGTCTCTCTCCTTCGTGCGCCAACTTATACCCCTACTGCGATGTCTCACCGCGCTGTTTCCCGAACGACCTCTGCGTCACCTCTCAGCGCCGTCAATGTCAACAACCATCAAACCAGAGGGAGGACGGCCAAGGCTGCGGCAAGCAAGAAGCCGGTGGCCAAGACCAAGGGCGCGGGCCGACGCAAGTCGGCATCGAAGAGGAGGAAGGTTCTGCCGTCTAAAAACCCACCGATGGTAGGTTGAGAGTTCGCCTGCGCTTGCTTACTTGACCACGCGACTTGTGTTTCTACCCTTGCGTGCAGCATGCTAAAAAAAAAACTTGTTCATCTCTTCATGAGTCTAGAAATGCATATAGTATACTAATAAAGAGATAAAAGTAGGATCGAAACATGTATCCGATGCATAGCTGCAGGAAGTGTATTTCCTGCCGCAGTAATTGCAGGTTTGAGCAGTGCGCCGTCGTGTTGGCGCACATGATATTCTGAGAATCGCCGTGCCCCAAAGTCGTGATCACCTATGTGAGGTCTTGAGCACCTCTTTTGTTGTGTGTTCCACATCCACCGGTTAAAATTCGATGTTGTGTAAAGGCGCGCGAACGTTGCATTTGTCCCCAATATGTACTTCATTCGGTAGTCAAAATTCCTCCGACTCCGTTCTGACCACGACGCGAGTTCTTCTTCCTCCCTACAGCAATACTCTGAAGACAATGATAAACAGTAGTGCGTTCCCCAAACAAAAAAGATATAGTAGCTGTCGCTAAAACGAGCGACAGCTGATAGATGTAACTGTCGTCAGACGTGTGCGTCCGCGGGAGGTGGAAGAGACCCTTTCTTCTTCTTTTTCTCTTTGCAATTCACGTCATTGGTTACCCGCGACGGCGCTGAAGACGCCCATGTCCGTGTACTTGACCCTCGTACTCTGTGCTAACTCCCCAAGTCTAACCTCTTCCTGCAGCCTAGCCTTCATCGTCGGCGAATTTCCAAGGTTACCAATCCTGTCGAAACTCATGGGCTCTACCATGAGGTCCACAAGTCTCTTCGCCCTACTGAGACAGACGAAAGTAAGCCCCGTGCAGGCCTCCTTGGGCCCCAAGTCAATGACGGCCTTGGCTAAAGTCTGCCCCTGGGACTTGTGCATCGTAATTGCCCAGCAGAGCCTAAGGGGCAGCTGCGTCCTGACCTGCGTCCCCCCGTCCTGCCAGGTGGTGTCGACGGGAGAAATAGGGACACAACGTCTATACCTCTCCTGAGACGACCATTCCCCCCCCGAGTACCCTTCAAACTTGACGACAACGTAAAGGGGGAGCTTCGGCGGGGGCGCATCATCTGCGCACACCAACTCGACGACTTCGCCTCTAATGCCGTTCACCAGCCCAACTTGTTGGTACAGGTTCTTCGAGAGCATAACCTTCGCTCCCTTGGCTAAGTAGAGGT